ATGTTTTCTGGTGCTATGATAGATCCAGTCATGGGTGGGGAATGTGCGTGGCCACGTAATCTAGAAGTCTTGGACTTGTGTGGAAACCCTTGCAATGGAGTGTGACAGATTCACAGGACAGGCAATATTTAAAAGACAGATTTTTAATATAATAATATAATAATATGATACCATAGCAGCAAGTCATGGCTTGAAGCAGTGATGGAGCACCTGGTGGGAAGGTGGGACCAACCCAGGGGAGCTCAGGTGCATGCAATGCAGTTGAGTGCCCAGAAGGGGTGGAGCCAGGATTCACCCCTTCCCAGACCTCATTTAAGGGTTGGCAGTAGAGGTGAGGGCTCCTCCTAGGAGATCCCTGTATACCTCAGCCTTTTGGAGGTAAGCAGCTTCTTTATTTCTGTGCATGCTGCTGTTGTATTTGAGCAGATCCTCACTTGCTGCATCCTAGGGCCTTGCTATTATTGCTGTGGTTTCCATTGTATTACAGATAGAAGTCCTAGCTATCCAGTTTACTCCCCCTTTTCCTATTAGATTTTTATTTAGCAGGGAAATGCATATATTGGTAAACAACATTAGGCTGTGTTTTCTTTAATAGAAAAAGGTGGTAGGAAAAATCATTCTGATCAAGATATGTAGTTGTGTATTCAAGGAGTGACACATCTGTGATATTCACTTTTCTGGACGTCTAGACTAGGTTCAGTAGGTGCTAAAAGAACAAGATAGTAGTAAAAACTAGGAATCTGGGAGTTATCGCTGCCTGGAAAATCTAGTGATGGCTTGTGCTCCCTGCTTTGCTCTTTGTGCATGTTATTTGGAAGCAATTATCAGAGTGAATTTAATTAAATGTCCTAAATGGTGACAGAGTGGTTTTCGTGACTGGTGCACTTATACAGGTTGTTTCGTATTCCTGTGTTGTTTGCCACTGTGTGGGTCTGTGGCCCACTGTGCTGTGAGTTATCTACAACAACTAGGAGAAAAAAGAAAAGTGAAATGTGAGCTTCAGCACATTGCTTGGAAGTATTCCATCAGCATTAGTAGGACTAAAACCTACAACATTCTCTTAAGCCTGGGACTGAAAAGGCAGAGGGCTCAGCAGTGATTTTGAGGGTGGTTGAGGATGTATGCAAAATGGCTTCATCCTCTTTCTCCTGAGCCATTGATGCTACTTCCTACTTCAGTTAGGAGGGACCCATAAGGATCACTGATTCTAGCTTCTGGAAATGCATCTGCAGAGCTGACATTTAGAGGTCAGCACCTCTGGATGAGGTAGTTCCTCTCTGATCCTTGACATGACTGACATTTGGAACAGATTGTCTGGAGATGGGGTGGATGGCCCATCTTTGGAGACATCCACAGCCAAGCTGGATGAAGTTGTGAGCAACCTGATCTGGCTGTGGGTGTCTCCGTTCAGGAGGATTGGACTATGTGGCCTTTAAATGTCCCTTGCAACTCTAAGGACTCTATGGAAGAGCAGTTGGATTGTTTTGTTCATTTTGGTTTGTGTTTGTTAGCTAATCGAGAGAGATGGCTGCTTTTACTTTGTTTCACATCGTTTCTCAACTTTTACTCAGGCCGTATCGCTCTGACCTGAAAAAGCCCTCTTCTGGAGAAATCTGGGTTGTTTGGAACAGATGCAGAGATATGACAGAGTTCACTTAGAACATAATCAACAGATAATAATAGGGTACTCAGAGAAATTGCAGTGAATGACAAGTATCATCAGCCTTTTCAAAACAGCAGAATCAGACATTTTTAACTCCACATGCACAACGGTGTCAGGAGAAGCAGGAAATAGCTAATCTTTAATTCTTATGTTCTAGCTTTAAAAAAATGATATTGTAAAATTGCAAAGGGAGATGCATTATCGTAGGAGAATCACTGAGCACTGTGTGTTCTCATTAGCAAACAGCAGGATTTTCTGTGCTGACCATGAACATCATGGAAACCAGCACAAAATGATGAATGATTTTGTAAGAGGAATCTAGGTTGAAGGCACTGCACTATGAGTGATCCCTGAGGTTTGCCTTAACATGTGAGAAATGCCTCCTGAGAGCAGCGAGCTGCTTTCCAGCCCAGTTACATATCGATTGGGAAGTATTTTATTATTTCATTTTTACACATCCTGTATCTTGGTTAGACCCTTCTGTTTCTCATGTGCATTTATAATTGGAGTAAATAATTTTGAACAGAAAAATCATCCATTATGTCTGCAAGTGTACAAAATCAGAAGCAGCACTGGGCTTGCAGGGGATGTGAATAAAGCTGGGTTGTGATGGAGTGTTCCAGCTGGGAGCCTGCCATTTACAGTTGCCTCAGAAGCACTTTTCTAGTTGCTAAGTAAACTGCTTTCCTTAAAGGAAGCAGAAGAAGAAAAATAATGAGAGCTAATACATACTGGTTGTTCAGATGGTGTGGAAATGGTGGTGAGAATTACCTGAAACATGCTGGCTAGGAGATAAGCTTGTGAACTTTGTAAACAGTGTACAAATAGGGAATGTTATTACAGTTTAGCAAAGTTCTCACTCTCGTTTCTTTCAAACCTGCTGGGCTAATTAAGTGTCTCCATTACCTGGGGCACTTATGGACTTCTCTCCCAGCCTATACCCCTTTTGAGATCTGCATTTGCAGTCCTTCACAGCTCCTGTTACAGGAGCTTTCAGGTTACAGTTACTTTCAGGCTGAGGTTTGATTCTGGGTGTCTGTTCTCCCAATCTGTTTCAGTACAGAGAACATCTTGGCATGGTGGAGATTAAAGCACAGGATTGATTAGAGAGGAGAGCTTTGAATCCTTACAGTACAATCTTTCTCTTACATCTGACACTAGTGCACACTGTTTGGTAACATTCATTCCACAACCCCTATCTCCACAAAATAACATGAGTGGTCAATTTAAATGCAAATGTACAGTCATTTTCTGCCTGACCTCCAAGACATTTTATGTTTGTGTCCTAATTTGGCCTTTTTAAACAAGACTTGGTGTCCCTGTTTCTTCTATGAGCATGCTCCTGCTCTACCAGAGATAAATACCTGCTTGTGGTTATGTTATGTCCCTTTTAATGAAGGTTGGAAGTTCTTGCTGACTTCCATTTTTGAGCACCATAACTGAAACATGATAAATGACTGCAGTGCTCAAGAAGGAAATGGGAAACCCAGTCTTCAACATTTGGCACAAATAGCAGGATGTAACCCTACCAGTTCCTCCTCACAGAAGGTCTTATCTGTAGAATATATCCCTGGCTCTGCTCTCACAAACACCCATCAGAAATGGTATCTTTCACTTTCTGCAAGAATCTCCCATCCTGGCCCTGAAGCACTTTTGGGCTACATGCAACTGATAATTTTGAGAGCAGTCCTGGGGTAGATATCTTGCTTTCCTAAAGACCTCAGGCTGGGAAACCCAAAGCACAGACAGGAATCACACTTTCTACATCACTTCCTTAAGGGGCTAAATATGAATTCCAGTTGTCATGGAAAATCTTCATGCATGAAACTCCAAGCCTTAGGAGGTAAACTGGAGGCTGGTGATTTCCCAGTTTTGTACACCCATAAAGTGGATGCTTTGTCAACAAACAGTTGTGTGTTTTAAAAGGCAGTGCATTAATGTTGTGTTACCTGGACCTGACCTGGGAAACAGCAGACTTCAACCCATGCGACAGTATAATAACCAAGGTGTGTCTGTGAGAGGGCATCAGATGAGCCTCAAAAGCCATAGCAAAATTATTAAACCACCTTATTAAAGAAAATACTCGTTGTCAGGAGCAACTTGGCTCTGAAGGGCAAAACACCCCTACCACTTCCAAAGGAATCTGGCAAGCTCTAAGTGTAACACCATCTTTCAATCAGTGCTGTGCTGTCTAATTAACTAATGTTTGCACTTTTGTTTGAGATCATACCTTTACAAGGAAGGCTAATATGTTGCTATGTTTAAATGGTAGAATTAATAATTTAGAAAATATGAGAGTACAAAGTCAGGTTACTCTTATCATATCATCAAAGTCAGGTTTAACTACCTTCTTTTTTAGCTTCTTGCTTAATTAGTTAAGCTGCTGAATTTAATTAACTCATCAAACTTAATTTGAAAAGATCTCTCAAATCAGTAGGAGCTTATCTTATGCTTATTATTTCTATTTGGTTAATGAAATCTTTAATATCACCATTTTGTTAGGATATTAATGGTAGTATTAATCGTGTTCTAATTTACTTCATTTACTCAGATGGTGGCATTTTCTTCATTTAAAGTGCCAGCATGTGAAAATCAATCACAGTTTAAGGCAGTGAAATTGCTCTTCTAGCCAGCTCTCAAGTCAGCTATGTATTATCTCTTTTTCCATAAATGTAAGTTGGGTTTGCAAGGTGAAGTTATTTCATGGAAGATCATGTTGGGTTTCTGAAGTCCTACATCTTAGAGAAATGTTATGAGGAAATTATCCTCTGGATGCTCTTTTGGAACAGCTTAACCATGTTGCTAGGTAATATATTTGAAACTAAAACTGGTATTACAACTATCTAATTCATTTGAGCACATCTGGGTGTGATGCTGCAGCTTCATGATAGTCTGCCACTCCTTTATATTTATTATAGAGTTTATTGCAAAAGGCACAAATGGTAAAATTTGATGTAAATTCAAACCCATTTGTTTGGGTATCTTTTCATTCCTCTAGAAGATATGCACAGAGGAGAGGCCATGCGATTGCTTAAATCAGGATTTCTATACAAATTATTCACCCATTCCGCAGAGAGCGTTTTATTGTGACTTAGGATATGCTGCTGGTAGAAACTTTGCTAATTAGTTGGGAAAGGATTTCATATAGATTTGTACAAACCTAGTTCTATGCTGGCTGAAACCAAATGCTTCACTGCTGCTATTCCAGCCAGTATGATTTGCAGATGTATCCTTGCTCGCAGTTGCTCCCTCAGGCTGTTTTATTGTTGTAGCTTCAGTCTGAGGCCAGCTCTCAAATACACAGTTAAATAGCTTGTGTCTCTCTGTTTTCCCTTAGAACGACTACAGGAAGCTATCTATGCAATGCAAGGACTTTGTAGTGGGGGTTCTGGACCTGTGCAGAGACACTGAAGAAGTAGAAGCAATTCTGAATGGAGATGTGAACATACATCTGTGCCCTGAGCACCACCGGCCAAGCCTGAGCAGAATTAAACTGGCGATTAAGTATGAGGTCAAAAAGGTAAGCTGCTTGTTTGGGTGGATACATCTTTGCATGTCGACTAGACAATCACCTGGAAACTCAGTGAGAGATTTTGGTGAGACCAAGGCTGTTCTTTGAGTCCTAGCACTTCGTGGAAATGTTCATTGAATGGAACACTTGATTCTGGCAAATTCTGGTCTGGGTGGTCCTGATTAATTTCTCCTACAATATGCATTGATAGAAACTGGGCTCCTGCAATGGGTTTGGAAGAGCATTCCAAATTTTCAAGCTAACATCTGCTCTCTTTCCTCTTGCACACCCATCAGATGCTTCAGTTGTCCTCTTGACTGTGTCACTCTGCTGCCAGAGACGGTCTTTTCCTGTTATGAAAGCCATTAATTGAAGAGAATCTTAGAGCTCTTATTTGAAATGAATTGCTTTTGTGTAGGAGCACATGGTTTGGAGCTGAGTACGGTTTCCTAGTATGTGGTATATAGCATCTGAGCCCAAGGTTAGTAAGGTGCCTTTCCACAAGCTGGGTCAAGTTCAGCTAGCGAAGCTGTTGCTTTGGTAACAAGGGACCAAATTTGTTCTGATGATCTTTTAGAAAATGAACCCAACTGCAAGGTACTCAGCTCATCACCAAGGAGAAGCCCCACTCACCTGCAGACTGAGAGCTATTGCAGAGCTGGTCAGAACCTCGAGTTCTTTCAATGTGTGAAGTTTTCTGTGCTATTTTCCTCCTTTATTCTTCTGAGCACTTGTCATCTTCTAGATACCAAAGCCATTACACAGAGCTGAATTGCTGCTGGTAATTGTGCTGCTTTGAGCGTGTTTATCCTGACTTAGACTGCCTCAAGGGAGTATTTCCTCAGTTTCTTATATTTTTATAACAGTTGGTTATTTTATGATGTCTGACCACTAATTTAAGGCATCTGTGGTCTGCCATATACAGTTAGTTGTTTTGTTTTATAAATAACTTCATATGCTTGAGAAAGCTAAGCATCCTTTGTGGATCACAACCACTCCTTGCCTACAGATAATAGCTGTTAATTGCAGAATATGAACATGAACATTACTCATTGTTGACTCAGTTTAGCACATCTCAGAGCATCCTTTTCATCAGTGTTTGTGTGTAAGGTGAGCATTTAACTGCTAGCTGGAAAGTGAGATAGCTTCATTTGTGGGAGGCAGAGATGTGTTCAGATAAATGGCTTTGGTTATTGGCAGTGGCTTGTGATAATAAGCTGGTATTTATTGCACATGCTGAACAGAGATTGTGTTAGAGCAGTGTAGTAATGATTTCCTTAAGAGAAAATAGGTTTCAGGTACAAATTTTCTATTCAGCTGAGAGACATTTAGGCTCATGTATATGAAACCTGTGCTCCAAAACCTATTCTCATTGTAAAAAAAATTATATAATAGAAAGGGATATGATGAAGAGCGAGTTGCCATAAGTATCTGATAAATTCTTGAACTGATTCTGTAAATTCCAGGTCACATTTGCAAAGTTAATGCAATGAAGAGACTACATCTGTGCCTGCTGCCCCTATTACTAAAATCCACCTACCTCTATCATTAGCATCAGCACTCCAATGGTCAGTTCTGCTTCCAGCTCCACAAGCTCCAAATGAGCCAGAGAAATTAAGATATTTAAACTGGGGGGGACAACTGGAATATTTTATTTGTTCCTTCTTGTGAACAGCAAGAAGAACCTTGGACAAGGCACCCTCTAGAACTTCACAACAGACTGGAGAAGAGCAAACGTTCAATACTGTAGGCTTATTCATTAAGCTAATATCCAAACTAAATATTTGTATCCAAAGTTTCAAGAAATAACTTATTTTTCTTTAAATTTATCTCTACCATTAGCTTCTATATCCACACTTTCTTATTAGGACTCTAAATGTCTGTGGCAAGCTTCAGTTGATGAAGGTTTGCAGGGAACAACTTATACTGAAAATTATTTAATATCAATGGTTTTATTGCACAGCTGCTGATGCAATTCCCATTTAATCCCAATTTGTACCCATATGAGACATTTAGGGATGCAATTAAGGTGAAGTTTGCTGTTTAAGTTATTAGTGCTAATTTTTGTCCTGTCCCAGTATCTTAATTAAACAATGTCCTTAATTTGGTAGTCGTGCCCCTGAATGAGTGACAGTTGCTGGAGGTACGGGCTGCACTTCCTGCACACAGAGCAACAGAGCAGTGAATTCAGTCATCAAACTCACACTTACTTTTAGCCAGATATACACTATTTCTCACACTTCTTTTAAGTTCAAATCTCTGCTTGGAAAATCCCTCATTCCAAGGGCAGCTTGGTCTTGAACTGGATAGGAGGCCAGAGCTGTTCACTCATCACACTGAAGGTACCCTGAAAGAGGGACTGAAGCCTTCTTGCATCATCTACCCAGGAACCTGCAGCTGGTAACTTCAGCAGGTTTTGTTCTGAATGATCTTCCTCTGCACTGATGTATTGATCAGAATCCTTTTCTCTTTCCTTTTCTTCCTCCCCTCTTCTTATTTACAAAACCTCAGATGAAATAGAAACTCATTCAAGGAAACACCAGAGGTTTCAGACTTCAGAGCCTTATCTGTATCTTTGTACTCTTATTTCTATTTTTTTCCTGAAAAAGCTCTTAATATATGTAAGACACTGCCAAGAAAGCAAGCTTAGGTCTCAGTAATACAATTGAGGTATTTTATATACAGGGGTAGTGAAGAATTAAGACATTTTGCTTGCAGGCATTTCACAGCAAGGAAAAAGCTAAAATTGCAGTCATTTATAAAGCATCCTCTAAGAACTGTACTACAACTATACCTGAAAGAACTAAACTATCACTTTGTACCCAGAAATTCTTGGAAAACTACACTCAAATACCCTCTGTTCAAGTTCACTGGGGATATTGCTCCCTTCAAATTAAGTATCTTAATGATTCGTGATTCCTTGAAAAATTATTACAGCAACTGTTACAATAGGAACAGTTTGTCAAGAGCGAAGTAAACGGTTTTCAAGTGTTTAAGCATTTATAAAGCCCTGGGTGCTTGTCAAGAGAAGGACTTCTAGCATATGGCCTGGAATTGCTGCAAGCTTATTTTTGTTGCCTCCTGGTATAACCTAGCTGGGCTCTGCATGTGAACCCCAGTAAAGGTCTGGGTTCTTACTGCTCCATCAAAGGGAGGAGGAAGGCAGGGAGCAGTGGAGCCCTGTTGTGGCACAGCAGAGGGCTGGCAGTCTAAATCAAAGTGCTCTTCCCAGTGAAATAAAATAGCTGATCCCAATGACTGTACCAGTTTCTCTTCTGTGCTCTCTCACACGGGCTCCGTCAGAACCAGGTTACTTATCCCCAGGCTTGGTGTACTCCAGAAGAGCTTTGATATTTTAAAAGTTCATCTGCCCTGAAGCAGTGAGCCATTCTGTATCTCTGTAGCTGATTAGTAGCATGCTTACAAGGTATAAGGGTTAACTTCACTTTCTTGGGTGGGAAACTGCACGAGAGTGTATTTTCTTTAAAAAGTTGAACAATCTCTATCAGAAATATAAATATGGTACAGTTTTTCCCTATGTTTGACTTTATTTCTAGTTCATCCATGGTGTCATTTTCACTTGTGAGGTATAGGAACAGAAGCTGGGGCAGCTCTCCTTTGAATTCTTCCCTCAGACCTCCAGCCCTGAGGAAATGCAGCTTTTCTTGGTGTTCCACAACAAGAGCATTTAGTAGTGTGTATCACCTTTAGAGAACTCTTCCTATTTTCTGTTCTCATTTTTCTCCATGCTGCTCTGCCCTTTTTCATAACCCTTTAATATTGTCAGGAGAGTTGCATTTTGACACTTACCTGTAGATGTAAAGCTGTTGCTTCTCTGTAAGAAGTGACATTCGTTCCCTTCTTTCTCAATGTCAAAAATCATTGCTGCTGTATTCTTTTAATTGCAAACCTTGAATGCCCCTCTCTGTTTTCTCAGTTAGCAGCTCATTTCATAACTTACAAAGCCAGAGCACCCCTCTCTTTCACGAGTTTTAATTAGATTAGCAGTAAGACACACAAACTGAGTTTTAAAAAAAAAATTAATAAGAGTTAAACAGAACACCAGATGGCTGTGTAAATCCTATTTAATGGAGAACTGGAACAGGAACTTTTCTCATAAATGTATTATTAATAATTAACATATGGAGGATGCTCCAAGCAGAATACTCGTGGCTATATTAGATTATAACTTTTTTCCTGCATTGCTCACAGCTCTTGTCAACTGCTGCAGCAACCTCAGTTTCCCATTCATTTGCTATGAGGATGCAGTTTTGCCCTGTGCCGTGTCTTGTATGCCAGCTGCAGTCCAGGGAGCTCCTTGCTATTGCATGGGACCCCAGTGGCTGCATCCATGAAGCAGGCAAAAGAATCAGCCCTTGCTGTCAAAGTCATGGGAAATCTTCCTAATGGCTCTTTCACCCTCTTTGAAACAGAGTGAAGGTTTGGAATTTCCCATGGGATAAATCCTAAACTTCTTTATCCCTGTGCTCATAGTGTGCACAGATAATGGTTTAAGCAGGGCGAGGCTGTGTTTTACCATCCAAACGTGAGGTCCAGGCAGGAGAACTTCTCATGGAAAAGGTTTTCAGGAAGTTGGCTTTTTGCTTTGCTTTTGTTTAACTCCGGTCATTTTTTTTCAACTACTGAATTTCAGGAATAGCTAATTGAAGTCGTTCACTGATGGTTGGGACCATAGCGGGGGGGTGAGAAGTGTCTCTTGTCTCCATCACCAGAGCCAGCTGAAACTGTAAGAAGGAGATTTTGGTTTTATGTGACAGTAGAAATACCCTGGTCATTCTGGACTCTTACTTTTATCCATGTAATTTTCCCTGTACTTTTACTTGCGTTTTACAGATTTTTAAGTGATAGGGAAGGAGTTACTTTCCTTCCTTACGGAAACAATTTTATGTCTCTATTTCATTAGCAAGGTTCCTTCCTCCCACTAAATCTGTGGCTCTGATGATATCCATTTGCCCAGATGTTTTAATTTCTTTTCCAGGATGAATCTC